TTTCACTCTATACCACATTTTCACTCTATGCCACATTTTCACTGCCACATTTTCACTCTATACCACATTTTCACTCTATGCCACATTTTCACTCTATGTCACATTTTCACTCTATACCACATTTTCACTCTATGCCACATTTTCACTCTATACCACATTTTCACTCTATGCCACATTTTCACTCTATGCCACATTTTCACTCTATGCCACATTTTCACTCTGCCACATTTTCACTCTATGCCACATTTTCACTCTATACCACATTTTCACTCTATGCCACATTTTCACTCTATGCCACATTTTCACTCTATACCACATTTTCACTCTATGCCACATTTTCACTCTATGCCACATTTTCACTCTATGCCACATTTTCACTCTATGCCACATTTTTCACTCTCCACCAACAATATTTGTAATCATTCACACTTTATATCATTTTGTATTTTCCTGTCTATTGGTTACCATATAAATAACCAATATGACAGGTGAATATCACCTCTCACCTTTTCTTTCTATCTATCATTTTATCTTTTTTTTAAGCTATATTTTTTATCACTTTACTCTGAAATAACTCATATTATTATTTTCACAGAGGGGGAAATGTTATATTAAAATATTTTATTTAAAATTATAATTTCATAGATATAAATACTCTGTATAAATCGACCGCCAGAGGTCACGCTTTCTCTATAAATACTCATTGTTGTTGTTCCCCGTTGGCCGACCCAAAACTTTGTAATTATGTAAATAATCTTTTCATTTTTTTATTCTTACGCCTTAAGCCAGGCGGTACTTTTACCAAATTATGTTTAACCCAAAAAACTCAATTAAAGCAATCTCTCCGATCAAAACTGTTTTTATTATTATTCTTTCAATATATATGCCACGACTGCTCAACCAGATGATCCAAAACAACAGAAATCGTATTTTTTAAATTTATATAATTTTATAACAGAAATCTAATCTTATTTTATTTAAAATATAATATATATATATATGTTATGAATATTTTGTTTTAGTTAGATAAGGCTTGATAAGACAAAGGATCGATAAGATAAAGGGTTGAGGTGCAGTCGTGATAAAAAAAAGATAATTATTTACCGTCAAGTAGCTTTTATTTTCAATTACTTGAGGAAACATTACACATTAGTTATTTTCACATTATATAGAAGTTATAAAGTTAATCCTATATTAGTGATTAAAAAGGATAGATATATTAACTACGCATATTTACAACAAAACTATACAACAAAACTGAAAGTCTTTCTAAAAACGATGATAAAAAAAGTAAAATTATCAATGAATAAAATGAAATATATATTTTTTGAAATATAGAAATATTTGAGTTTTTAGATTATATAATATATATATATATGTTAAAAATCAAGAAAAATAGAAAAATGGTCAGGTGTTGATATTAAAAAAAGGCATATCCTTACACGCTAACACGAACATTTTTAGGTGACAGTGCGCCATCTAGTGGAACATAAATCAACTAAACGTTGATATTTCCTGTTCCTGATGCCTGGTCAGAATATGCCTTTATTTATTTGAATATCAACACTTGACTTTTTTATAATTTTATTTTTCATTTGTATTTTTACATATATATACCTGCATATCTTTAAGGACATATTCGAATTAAAATATGGTCGATATATATTCAGAAAATAAAAGTAGAAATAGAGATGACTTGTATATAAGAGGAATCTATTTTACATGCTGGAAACAGAGTAAGAAACAGAGAAGGGACAATCAAGATTTCCATTAAGATTATTTAATGGGAAATGCATATATTTACTATATATGAAAAAAATTAATGGAATGAAGTAAGTAACATTTTGAATCTACCTTGTATATCATTTATTCGCACATTCTAATATTATAACTCAGAAAAAATAAATATAAAATTTAGCAACCAATATATCGTTTCCAATATGGTCGTTTGTATGAGATAAAATCCAAGGATATAACTATGCCAGCAATACGCAATTACAATATCTCTGATAATTGTGTGGCAACCCTCTTATAAGCCATTACAAGCTCTCTTATTTCATTTTCCCAGCTATAATCGGATTAAGTTTAGTCTCTTGTGAGCTTAGCTTCGATTTTATCCAATAATTGAGTTAAATGCGACTTTATTAACTCCCCAATTTGAGAATAGGAATGAATTTTTATGGTATAATGAAGAGTTATCTCTCTCTTAATTATCTTTTAGTTAATTATAATAATTAGTAACTATAGATTTACTTTATCAAAGTTAATGTAGTTTGTGTCTCTTTGCATGTAGTAAAGAGATAACTTAATCTAAAAGAAATTATATTTGTAGGTTGGAATTTAATTGGGTCAAAGAAAACGTTTTACATTAAACTTTTATATTTTTAAATCCGACATGTTAATGACACAAAGTCGTCTTTTCAAAGTTGATTGAAGGTTTCATGCTTATAATTTTTCGAAATATATTATTTGAACCTTCTACATGTTTTTATAAGGCTATGTAAATGTAGGCTATGTAAACTTTAAGAAAACGGTATTCCTATACCAGTACAATATCACATTTGTACTATTTTTTCACATTATGTAAACTTTGTTTAAATCATAATTCAAAAAAATAATCACTTGTATCAATATTGAATTAAACATATCACAGGATTGCAGGAAAAATTATCTTTTCAAAACATGTTTAGCTTTCGTTCACGGGAGCCTATCTACAGAAGAAAAAAATGGTATAATTCGTTCAAATCGTGTTCTATTGGCGAATTATTATACAAATCTTTCTACTGTAGAAGGGCTTTCGTGCCCGAAAGCTATAGAATAAAAATATTTTGAAAATATACTTTTTTCCTGGAGAGAGGCTTGATATATTTTTACTCAATAATTCATAATACTTATTTATTTATTCAACACACAAAACGCGATATCCCGGCTAGGGATAATTGCGTCTATTTACATTTTTAAACAGGAGCTGTTATAAACATATTATACAAAAGAAAATTCAAAAAAGAAACAAAATAAGATATATTAGGAACCAGATCCTTATATATATCCTTATAATATCGTCACAGAAAGAACTAGAAATATATAATAATAATCAATAATAACTGAATTTACACAAAAGAGAATCAAATATGAAAATTCAATAAAATAGAAATAACATAAATTCCCTTTTTCTGAGTTCTATAATGAAGGAGCATTCGTAACCATTTCTTTGAAAGCAACACACACACAAGAAACACAAACATTTACATTGTATTTTACCTTTTAAAATGTAAAAGACTGGATTTTTCATCAACCCGAAAATCCATCTATTTGAAAACCGCGTGTTGATCCATTAGAAAAGTAACATATGCTATTGTTAGAAATTCCCAATATTTTATCTGAAATATATTTTTTTTATATTCCCATTTCTAAAGTCCTCATTGTAATGATCAAACTAAATCAAAGGCTTGGCTTGGTGAAATATCCCAGCAGTTTAGTAAAAATGTATAACAACAGATGTGACACTAATGCATGGTATTTAATATGCAATTATGTAAATATCTAATGATTAATTACACTATAAGACCTCAATATACATCATAGATTAATATTTTACTCTGGTAAGATGTTCTTACGAAAATTCATATTTTTCATTATAATATTGACAAAAGGTGACAGTAAATATTTAAAATGTCATAATAGATATATAAGAAATCAATGCAAATAATTATTTTATCACTTTATTTATCAAATAGTAATTTAAAAATATAAAAATAGTTGGTGCCATTGGGCCAAGGGTATCTTTTTTATTAGTTGAAAAGAAGCTACCAATCGAGAACGACGGTCTTTTAAAGGCTATACTTTTACTTATTCAACATAGTATTTCTCTTCCTTAACTTGGAAAAACCTATATTAGACGTTATAAAACAGGATAGTTGCATACATTTTCAAAAATATAAAATGAAATGGTTTCAGCGTTAGCTCATTATCAGGTATATATAAGTAGATTTTCATACGAATTATTAAAATTTAAATGGAAGATTTCAAGCGTCAAATTGGATAATGGCATTAAGTTTCTTTAACCCTTTAAGCGCCAGGTAAGAGGATGTATCGGTTTGATGTGACTTGATGCTTCTTTTCTCCTTAAAAAATCTAATGAAAATTAATTAATTGTATTTAAAAGCGTATATTCTGTTGCATTGTGTTTCATATGAATCATAAAAGGGTTTATTTAAAAAATAATAATAATATAAAGAATAGTTTAATGTCTTTTAAAGGTTAACAATAATCAGGAATGACCTTGAAAACGGCCGGCACCTAAAGGGACTTTCATGCGTTAGCTATTCATCAGGTATTAATCAAGAACAATTGCCCTGGTGATCAAATAACGCCTGCTAACCTGCCATTTTGAATCGCTCGCAAGCAGCGCCACTAGCGGTGAAGATGGGAGGTAATATCAGCTGACCTAATGTACATGTAAAACGTGTTTTAACAGGACATAGAAAAAATTTGGAAGAGATATTTGTCGCATTTTTAGCCAAGAAAAATTGAAATTGACAAGTTCTGGGCAGAAATAGTTGTTTTTTAGTCAGAAAATGATTATGACAATATTGCTGTATCATATTTGATTATCAGATACAAAATTATATCTGGAAAAATTCCAAAAAACAGAGACCACGGGTGAAGCCAGTTCATTTTTAGTATACAGGAACAAAATTCTAACAGAAAAACATTCATTCGAGCAGAAGACACAAAGCCAAATCATCTCTTTATAAAAATATCGCTTCTAAGACACAAAGTTTGGAGCGGGACGTTTCACAAGAATGACATCCACGGCGCCAATTTATAATTGTAACAAATAGTATTTGAATAAAAGCATTTAATCGGGTAAAACCCGGGCGTTGCCCGGGTCATTCGGCTTGTTAAAATATACAAGTATCAGAGTCATCAACAATCAATTCTGTCATCGTTTGCTTTTGTGAATGGAATAAATACCCAAATATGGCCATATCTTATAAGCATCGGTGGTTCAGTGGTAGAATGCTCGCCTTCAACGCGGGCGGCCCGGGTTCGAATCCCGGCCGATGCATTTTTTTTTTTACAATTTATAAAACTCATTTCTATTTTTATCCCTATATATATAAAAGTCAGCGTATGTATGTATGTATGTTTGTAAACTATACACGTCCACAATACGTAACTAATCTGACTGAAATTTTAACAGTTTATAAAGTAGAATCTGGAAAAACTCTTAGTGAAAATTTCAGGTCTCTATCCCGAATATCCATCGTGTTATTTGCAAATTTGCTCTTTCGCTCGTGTCTCTAGCTGTGAAAATTTGGGGGGGGGGGGGGTGTAATACCAGCTGACCTAATGTACCTGTAAAGTTTGGAGCGGGACGTTTCACAAGAGTGACATCCACGGCTCCAATTTATAATTGTAACAAATAGTATTTGAATAAAAACATTTAATCGGGGTAAAACCCGGGCGTTGCCCAGGTCATTCGGCTAGTCATGTATAATATCGAATATGCTCTTTGACTTAGCAATCATCTCATCTCTGATAAAATATATATCATATTTTATATAGGTTTGTATATAATAATGTGCATATAAAAATAAATTTATTATTAAGTTTTTAATGTGACAATCCTGTTGAAGAACTGATAAGTCCAAAAGCTTGAAAATAAAAAGTTGCACAAGAAACTTAACTCTGGAAGCTTCATTTATTATATGATATGTTTATGTAAAGTGTATCTTTTTAGAAATATCGATGATATAAACATACAAAATCTCATTTATAAAGAAACATAAATTTATACTTATTTAATAAAATATAGAGAAAAAGCCTTATTCTTAAACCTTTTGTATATTAAGAATATATTTATGAAAAGCTTGGAAATGCATTTTTAAACGAAAGCTAACACGAACACGTTCATTTTTAGAAATATGTATCGCTTGAGAAAATAGTGTTTGAAATATTTATCATGTGAATATTCTCCTCTAAAAAATAGGAATTTTAAAATTGAAGTTACACTAGAGAAAGAATTGAGAATAAATATCTTAATTTTTTAAATCTCGTTTGTTTCTCACTCTAAAATATGAAGTATGTAGAATATATCTTGTATAAGAAATAATATCACATATACACATATTTTAGTATATTTAGAAAATAATTTATTATATTTTATAACAATATATTATTAATATTTTTATATTCATCATATTATATATATTTTGCTACTCCGGAAACTTCCTTCGGTACTTATATTGAATCTTATAAATTAATAAAATAAAATATTTGATTTTGTTTTTTTGCCTTAAATAAATTTCTATGTCATTATGTAGTTTGTGTTTCCTAATTATCTATGCGAAAATACCTATAAATTTAATATTCAAAATATATAAATAATTAGCCAATCATTATATAAAATAAATATAAAATTTCTTCATATGAGAAAATATATCATGCCCACTTCATCTGTAATTAATCCTATATTTGACAATAACAGACAAGACCTCACTTAAAACCAATACGTGAATTCTAAGTTGGTAATTTAGAAGGTTTTTAATATAAATGATGACCGTATTTTTCAATATAAACGTTTCGAATAATATTTCTTGATATTCTTCAAACATCCTTATCTGTAGTCTTTAGAACTATTCATTAAAACATTAATACCACTTTTCTTCTGACAGTCTTCTTGGTCCTCATTTATGTACCGATGTAAATATATTTTATTAAAAAAATCTGCATATTTTAGAATATTATTGATATATAGAATTTTGTTACCTTCTTTCTTGATACATGAGCATTTTGGCAATAGCATGCAGTATATGAGTATTTTATGATATCGTTTGTAGTCGTGAAGAGAATAGTAAAAACAGTTTTGAATAAAACACAATAACAACACACAGTCTACAACATGCTGACAAGCGCCAACAGAGCGAAACGCGTTCGTGGATGGCTTTTCTTGATTTATCAAGAAATAAGGTTGGCCAAATATCAGGGAACAGGCTAATTCAATGATTAGTTGATTTCTGTTCCACTAGATGGCGCTCTGCCTTCTGGAAAGCTTATGTGCTCATGTCAAACAACAACAATGAATTTTATAAAGAAGAAGCCGGGGCATCTGGCGATCGAATTCACAGAGTATTTTATTCTAGAAAAATAATTTCAAAATGAAATGAACATTTTTATGTAACATGAATTTGTATTTATGTATGTCTGTTTAATTGGAAAAAGCCATCACCCATGCAGATTAATTTTATCATGTAAAAAGGTAAAAATGTTAAATGGTGCCAATTCAGATGAAAAGACAGGATTCTGAATAATTTTAACTTTATTGTGAACAAGATAATCTATTACTAAACATATTATATTTTCAATTCTAATTTTATCTAAAAATGTATAATAAAATTGATTTCTACAGATCTTATTCACCAATATTGAAAGAAGAAAGAAATGGATCATTAGTGGTAAATTTTCCAATTTTTAGTTAAGATAATGATGAGATTTTGATGATTATCTTTTATACCGAGATGAGTGAAAATAAATTGTCTAAATGCCAATCAAGACATTTTACACCTAGAATTGTGTGTAATATAAACCATTTCAAAAAAAAGCATTTAAAATATATTCTGTTATGTGCTAATTATAATTAATAGGGGTTTTTAAGGGGACTACCAAGCCTCAAGAGATAGTATTTATTATCTTCTACTTAGAAAATATAAGAACAAATGGTCTTATTGAAGATTTTGTTTATACTATACATTATCGCGCCATTTGTTATGAGAAATTTAAACTATTTTTAAAGAGTATGATTATTTTGAAAATAAATCTATATTCTACTGTCCTTACTGCAATGATAAAATAATGGGAGGGTTCACCACTGAAGAACCAGGCCCTTACATAATTTTATCATTGCAGAAAGGGCAGTAGAAATTGATTTATTTTTGAAAGAATCAAACGCGTCAAAAATTAGTTTAAATTTCCTATGAAGATTTTGAAGTCTCAAAAGATTTTTTTCCTGTACTCAAAATTATTTATAAGAACAAATGATCTTAATAAAGATTTGTTATACAATATAATAAAATGCGGATTGTGATTGTAAAACGACATTTGAAAATTATCCCGCATGTGTTTCTTGTATTTCCATCCCTGGACAATTTTATTTTTCCGTTTATCATTACTCTTCACAATTCATCCTTTCATAACTCACCCTTAAGGTTATAAATAATCGTTATTTCTCCTTAAAATAAATTTTGATTTTTCGTTCAGAATAAACAAATGCGGGATAATTTTCTAATGTCGTTTACAAAGATTTTGTTGTTGATGTTCAATTTAAGACGATATAACTATATAATAACGATAGAAAACACACATGTATAGGATAATTTATTAATAAAATTTTCCATTTTCCTTATAGCCATTTAACAAACTCCTCATCACACTGCCTACTTACCTTACAGATGCCAAATGACTATTTTGAATAAAACATATAATTTACATAAGTAAAAATCATAGTGAGTTTGAATAAAACATATTGAATATGTTTGTATAATATATATATTAGGATAGGAACTTATGAACATATGTCGTAAAGGATGTATATTTTGCACTTCCTGAAGAGAATATCAAATCAAAAGTTTATAATAAAACTTCGAACACACACTTTGTAAATAATAATTACAATGTATATACATAAATGTTCTGTCATTTTTATTTTACACTCTGTTATCAATTGTCCATTATTTATTAAAAACATAGAATATTTTGGAGAAAAAAAAGAGAAGGCATATCTCTTTCTATTTATTATACTATTTTATATTTAACCCCTTATATAATCTTATTTGGGAACGATGTAATAAAGGCGATATTAATTATAAAAAGGTCAGATGTTTGTTGTTAAAATAAAAAGACATATCCTGACTACGTTCACATGAACTTTTAGATGGCAGAGCGCCATCTAGTGAAACATAAATCAACTAAACATTGATTTAAACCTGTTCCCTGATATTTAGCCAACCCATTTTCTTGATAAATAAATGCGTTTCGGGCTGTTAGCCCTCGTCATACGATATATATATAAAGTATATATATAAAGAATGTTTCTATATATCAAAATAAAAGGTTCGGATAATTTTCTTCAATTTCAAATTGAAATGGAGGTTTTTTAAAAGATCTTCAATTACTAAAGCATGAATTTGATCATAAAATAATTTATATACCAAAATATCAGTTGGCTGAACGCCATATTTTTCAAGATACAACTACGTTTTTTATTTCAACAAAAACAAATACGTTATTGTACTTTGAAAAAGGTTGGCGTTGAGCTTAATAAAATATTAATTATATTAATTTTTAAATTATTTTAATCCTACCATCATTTCAAATGTTGAACGTTTTAGACGTCTATTAAACGTCTTGGTGGTCTACAATAGACTTAGAGAACACAATTTGTATTTTTCTTCTAAAACGGAGAAAATATGCGTAGCTCGTTCTGTAACGTAATGTGCGTTTGACCTTCCATTAAAATAAGTAGTTAAAATACATGTTTCTGGAAATATATTCAAACATTTGGGGGGTCGGTGGAAGGCTGGTTAAACCGTTTGGTTTACGACCACTACGACCCGGGTTCGATCCCCGCAATGGACACTTTTTTTTCTGTTTGAAAAAAAAATGCTCCAATGGCCCCCCGATTCTTGCAAAAGTCCAACCCCACCAGCGAGTGCAAGTAACCAAACGGGGCTCTGGCACATTTGTAAGTGGAAAGTCGAACTGCTTTCACATGTGTAGACATGTGGTGCGCTTACAGTAAAAAGCAGTCGCTAACTACCCACCATGATAATCATTGCCTGTACCACGTGTACTAGGGATAAGCAAAAAAAATAAATAAATAAAAAATAATTAGAATTGAAGTTTAAAATTTTATTATTTTATATATTTAAGTTACTATCTTGAACTATTGAATTTTTAGCGTAAAAATAATAGGAGCGAGGACGATAATAAAATACACTCATGAACAAAATCTAAGGAGTTGTATCTTTTAGCATGTATATCGGAATCCAGGCAATACCTCTGAAATAT